ACACGTTCCGGACCGCGTGACACACATGGTGTGTCATAAGTTTGTCTCTATGCGGTGTTTTATTCAATCAATTGGGCTCTCCTTTCATGATCCAGTGTTGTGAAAACACAATCCAGCTTACGGAAGATACTTACCATAAGCGATTCAAAAAAAAAAATGAAAAATTTACTGTTAAATAACTTATGAAACATAATTAACCGGAGATGCGCGCAGTACGGCGATCCGCAATCTGTTGAACACTTCTGCACCTTTTCACCATTCTTCATGGTGTTTCTTGTTTTCCTGCTGCATTATTATTTCTTTACATGCTTTCTCCTTGCTTTCTCTGCGAGGGTCCTCCAGGCATCATTTCTTTCTGGAATTTCACGGGAGGGGGTGTGGCATTGATTACATAATGGACTTAAAGACACACTCCGCGATTGCAACCTTAATGTGGTGGTGCCCAACAACGAAGTTGGAATTACTGAGTAAGTCTTTAATGGGGAGAAAATCAAACAGGATGTCGAAAACGCTTTGAATAAGATCCTCTGTGTCCTATTTGATTCTGACGGTTTGACGATTATACGAAAATGTGATAGTCGAGAGACCAAAGGTGAAGAGTGAGAGGGCAGAAAGACAAGCTCGACGGTAGCCACTAACAGGTGCCAACCAGTGTGGGTGTCCTGGACCCAGGTCTAATTCAGTAGTCTTCAGGCAGCGTTCAGACTTCGCGACGGCAGCGCTTCGGTCGCGCGTTCGACGCGATCAATGCAGTCGAAAGCATGCGCATCGATCGTCGAATCGCGCGACCGAAGCGCTGCCGTCGCGAAGTCTGAACGCTGCCTAAGACACTGCGCACTTGAAAGCCTTTAAATGGGGAAAAAAATCCAAAACACTGTAATTGCGGCCGGTTAGCCCTTGTAGACAACTCGGAACTCGTGGAATGTACCTTTGGAGGAGGAATTCCCATCTATGCGAGGCATGTGGTTTGCAGGTCTGTAGCGTCGGAAACATAGTATCCCATTGGGATTATGGTTTTTGCCTGCCTTTTCTGAATTGAGGCAAGCCGTTAAGGCATTGCAAAAGCAACGCAAAAGGAAACGGCTTGATTCTGAGGATTTATCCCACGGTGCACCCTATATTATCCTTCCAATCCATTCCGCAAAACACTTCTGGCTTAGGTATAAGCTACAACTTTCGTAGGCCATTGAGACGTTCATGTCGCTTTTTAAGCCTTGTTTGGTGGAAAAATTACAAAGGCTATTTATGTAGCAAAAAGGAGTTATAGGTTCCTCTGTTCTAGCGCTGAGATCGGACTAGGGCATGTTACAAGAAAATCGTAATCTGCCGCGATGTGGGCAAATTACTATTTTCTCGTCACATGGTGTCGACGTCGCACCTGCGAATGGCGATGGACACAGGTAGTAGAATTCAGAACCGGAAATGGTCCATGCAATGCTACATGACGGGTCTACATGAAGTTTGGGCTCCAATCGACAGGTTGAGAAAACTGAAAAAAAAGAGGGAGTTGAGAAAACTCAGCGTAATTGGCCGATCCGTCGCCGCGCGGCGGGTCGACCAAATACGATTCTCTTGCCCGCCTCCCGGAATCTACGTGCGCAATATGTTATGTACTGCACCACTACCAACTGCGCTCTATAAGGCAGCGTTCAGACTTCACGACGGCAACGCTTCGTCGCGCGTTCGACGCGATCGATGCAGTAGAAAGCATGCTCATCGATCGCGCCGAAGCGCTGCCGTCGGGAAGTCTGAACGCTACCTATGCATTACGTCATTTCTTCGCAATCAAGTTTAACTTAGAACGTACTCTGTACCTGGCCATTAAACCTATCATATTTCGTAACATTCTTTTCAGGAGACTCCAGTGAGTGAATGAGCGGCAAGTCTCGTTACTAATTGCAATGTTGTGTTTTGGGACATGATGGAGCCAGCTGGCGATGCATGTTGTGGGGCCACTGCTCGAGCTCTGGATATGTTCAATCGTCGTGGTTCGGTGATTGCCGTCGTGATAGGAGGTGAGCCATAGTTTTCTTTTCCTTGAAGGGGGTGCAGCATTGCTGTGCGAGACACTACTGTTACCGCTACAGTGAGTGAGCGAGCATCAGTAAATTTCCGCCAATAGGGCGATTGTTCGATAATTTCTTTCTGGGGCCGCGAGTTCCTTGTACTCCTTATCCATGGAGCGGAGTGGGCGTAACCCTTCTATGCTGTGGAGTCTGAACATGGCATAGGAGGGTTACTCGTACGATATTTCAATTTGAGACAACTTTCATGTTGTTCTGTGTTGGACGGAGACATCATCACAACTGTCGAAATAAAAATATCTCACTAAAGGCACAGCCGCTGCCGCGTACATTTGAAGTACGCAGCCACGCCTACCACATCTCAGGGATTCTGAGTGTACCTGGTCGATCGATACCTGACTCAATGTGATATTTTTTAGGTAACACGCCCGAATTGGTCTCGTCGTGTTCCGCTTCTTCATCAACGGTTATCACAGATCATCCATCCTCTAATTCAGACATGGAAGCGTTAAGCTCCGCTGATCCACAAAGGTCAGTTTTCCGGTTTTCGGCTTGATTTATCCAGTCCACATTACTTAGTTTTAAATGTCCTTCGGGAACTCGAAATGCAAGTACAGTCCTGTTCGTGGAGGATGACGGGGCGTGTTAGAGGCCGGGTCTGCAACACATCAGCTCCTTTCTATTCTTTGACAAGCTATACCACTCATTTCGTTCGTATCCATCGTTTTTCACGTATTGTGTTGCCTACCCACTTCAACAACTAATGGAGAACTTGCTGGCGGCCCGTTAAACCCAGCCTCACTGACACGCCCCTTCATTTGCAGCGAACAAGACTGAGAGTTCACGAGCTTTCTTTCTTTCTACTTAATCGAAGTTCAAAATAATAAATTTTACCTAATTGAAGTAAATTAAAATTTGATTGGGGCTTGACCTCTTGACCATTCAATCGTATTGGCGATTCTAGGTCAAATTACACATTTATGGTACATTCTGATAGTTATCTCCGGTAGAATCTGCGATGTTTCACCTGCTACCATTCAAATACCTACGGAATCCCCTTGTACCCATGGGAAAAATGAGGTCCTTACCAGCAGATCACAACTCTCAATAAATCTCGGCACAGTGGTACCGTAAGGTCTTCCTTGCTGAACTCTTACGAGGTTTTTCGATCGCAGAAACGCTTCAGAGCTTGGAAGAATCTCCTTCAGAGCTCGAAAGGATCCCAATTTGTAACTATCGTGCCGAATGTCTCTATTATTCTGCGGAAGGAGTACAGCATCGTTGCGAAACACATGGGGGGGGGGGTCGTACTCAACCACTGGGGAGGGAGGGGCCGTACTTGATCGCTGTTGGGAGAGGGAGGAGGGTCATATGTGCTTTGAGAGAAATTTGCTGCTTTCGGGAAAACTTTTCCTGGTTGTTGACGTTTCGCGGTATTTCCCGTTTCACATTTGCCATAAACCTCCGCTCGAAAGTAAGCTTTTGGTGTCAAACTTGGGAAATTTCAGAAAGAGAAACTGGTAAAAAGCTGGGAACACCCAAAGTTTCTGCGGGAGGTCTACCGAAAACCCCCCTAAGGGAAGGGGAAGGGGGGGTCGTCTGACACCACCATTTCGTACACCACGATGCTGTACTCTGTCTGCGGATCTGCACCATTTCATTCTTGACTTTTGAGTCGCTGAGCAGAAGGCGTATGATTTCCTGGGAAAAAGTCGGAATTACTCCGAAAATCTAAAGGATTTGTAGAAGAATAGGATTTCTGACAGTTTCTAAATAGGTACATACTCCCGTGCCCATGCCCTGCCCCCTCCCCCTCCTCACACTCAAGCAGCTGGTTGTTGTTCCTAGGAATCGAAGGTGAAGGATGGTAAGGAGTCAAGTAGAGTTGGGTTTGTGGATTAGAGTCGCTCTAGGCAACAAATTTTCCTTAACGCGTGACACGCCCTAGGCCTGATGATGGGGCGCTTTGTTCCGCATGTCACGAGAAACAGAGCGACATCACAGATAGCTCTGGTTCCCCTTAAAATAATCTTCTAATTCATTTACAATCTAAAGGTTGTTTTGGCTATTCTCAACCAGTAGAGCAACTGACTGGACCATTAGCCTTCATTTCGCACAATTTCCTTCTGTTAGGGAAACGGGCAGGACAATTTCGCGCGCGCGCATCGACGCGCTGACATATCGCACGGCGGCTGCGCGGCAATCTTACTAGACTTGTAATCAATTTGTCATCCCGATCTTTCCTGTTCTTTAATATTCAAACTCAGGCTGGGCTGGCCAACTCATCTATCGTACGCGGTGTCGCTCATCGCGCTCAGCGCGGCATCTTACGATTGTCTTGCCTCATACCCCCCCTTCCGGCGCAGTTTGTCGACGGGGGGGGGCATTCTGCTTTCCATAGATGTGCCGACCCATCTAGGTAGCCTTTTCTCGAGTTGACACGTTTTAGGATGGTGGCTAGACGATCTTGCACCAGCTTCACAAGGGTTCACAAGTTTTACCAAATGGGTGAGATTTGTAAACCGGAAAAAAGGGAAGCAATTGTATAGCGAAATGCCCCGTCGACACAACAGCGCCGTGCCCACTTCTCTACTGTTATGAACAGTTGCATGGTTACGAGCGGCAGCTGAAAGCGCTATTTGAATGATTTATTTTGGCGCGTTTTTGTCACGATTGATTGATGCGCGGTAATAAGCACGTTAAAGAGAGATGTTCGTGGCGCTGCATGCACTTTCGGCTCACAAACGAAGTACCTCGTCGGCACGCATCGAATTTTAGCTTAATTTTGCGCGCCTTTTTTGAAGCTTTCTTTCTTGCGTTTTTCCTCAGCTCGTTTTCCCCAGAAGCTGAATGAAAATCGGAAAGAATGCAGCTAGTGGCATAAGACTTTAAGGCTGTTGGGAGCGAATACCGCGTTGGCTGTCCAATCTCACATTTCCAGCTTAGTGAAATCGCTGCATGAGCGCTCGAGTTTTGTATTCAATATAATTTTTTTTGTTGAACAATTCCATATAACTTTCATAATCCGTACATTCGAACCTCGGAAGTTACTAAGAGCACAGTACACGCTGACTATGTGGGCGTGGCCATGCCTATCACTGTGCCTTTTTTATGTGCGTCATTTTCTTTCTAGAGGCGGTATGAAAGGGGTGCCATTGGTTGGCCTGATATCACGGTCAGCATGAACAGTGTATCTGAACACCCTTCGATGAAGTTGAACTTCATGAAAATTTTTTGAAAATGGAATTTTTTTTGGAATTCAATTTTTTTTGAATTGAAATTTCTAGTACTTTTGTATCGCCATCCTATTCTAACTAACATGCAATTACCTTATTTTGTTTCAGTGATTGGCGGCCACCGTATCCTCGTCTAATTGCATTCCATGACTGCCTTTCACTTGCTTCTGCTTGGTCACTTGGTCTCAACCCGTCACTGCTCGATGACAGACCCACTGGTATGTTTACTGGAGCTTAGCTTTAAATTTCACTCTATCTCATGCAATTATGACCGTAATAGAATGTTAATGCAGCGCGCCATTGCCGAAGAGTTAATTTGGTCAGAAAATTTCAGTACTTGTTTTCCATTTTGTGTTGCGAATTTTTCCTGTTCTAAGAGAAGCTGATGATACTGGGTTTCTGTCATACGCCCACTTAAGCAGCAGAATATCGAAGGAATGCGAGAGCGGATTCGCGGTTGGGCTGTGAATCACAGGCCTCAATGTTCTTTTTAAAGGCAGCGCCCAGTCATTTGTTTTTCGCACGGCCTTCCTTCTTGGATAGTCATGGTCTGCCTCCCACATGAGGATGCAGTAATGTACTAGTTTTGCAGCTCAAAATGCGAGAGATGCCGCCCCGCCCACCTGGCTGCCATAACGCTTTGGCTCAGCCTTTAAAGGCTGAGCCCGCTTTCAAGAATAATTGAGTTGGTGGAGCTCCTTATAATTACGCGTGTCGCGAAGTGAAGAAAACAAGCGGAAGAAAATGGATGAAAATGCCCTATACGGACCCCGATGTGGCTACGTGGGGAGGGGGTCGGCCGACTCTTCACTAGCGAACGGCGCTATCCTCTAGCCTATTTGGATGCAAAACTAGTACATACTGCATTCAGAGAGGGCGGCGGTTACCATCGGAATGGAACGTGGGGGCGCTGCCTTTGAATTTCAGCGTTGAATAGTTCAAAATAGTCACATTCTGCTTTGAGACAAGCCCTACTTTAGTAAAAGTTTGTGGTGAATATAGCGCTCACTGGAGAGGGACAGTTGGTTCCCGTTAATTCCAGTCAAATTCCATACCGAAAACCATACTAATGGAATACACATGCGTTGCTTTCAAGCCCCACATCAAAACTATCAGTGGTGTTTCCTGTAGGGCAGTTCTGCGGGTTCTCCTAGTAGTTCACCCCTGCCTTCATCTCTTGAACCGATGGATTTATGCAAGTGGTAGCCTAATGAGTAAAAGTAGGCCTCAATGACTGTTGTCATAGCTCAGATCAAGTGAGCTTCAGAATGCTTCTGATCAAGACACCATCATTGCTGCGGATGTTAGGGTCGAGTCCTGTCGGCGACTCGCCCCTTTTTTAGGGATTTGGTACGATCCACCCCCCCCCGCTGGTTCCTTTCCCATCGTCGAGCTGTCGAGCGTGGGGAATAGCACCCGTGAAACGGGAAAAACCCGCGAGAAAGTACAACCCCATCCAGTTTTTCCGGAATTTCCCCAGAATTTTCTTACTTGTTCCTCGAAAATTTTGCCCTCGAGTATATAACATGAAACAGGAAAATCACGAAAACTCAAAAAGCCAGCAGCAATCTTTATGTCGGAAGGACCTGATACGACCCCTCCCCTTTTATAAGCCTGTGAAACAAGAAAAATCAGCTAACAAACTAAGTTTTCTGCCCAAATACGACCCACACCCCTGTTGGGGAATCCCCAACAACGATGTGCCCTGGCTTCCACGATTACAGCTGAACTGTGTGGTGCACCCTGAAAAGCGATAGAACAGTGGCAGATGGCTTTGTCTTTGTATTATACATTATAATCGTATGCAGGGCTTCTTCTCTCAAGCGCAATCGCCATGCGAAGACGATTCCGGTGATGGTAAATCGAACGAGATGCTGGCCAGTTGTCCTGCGTTCAGGTAAGCTTACATCAGTCCTTTTATTTTTTGGAAGGCAGTTTTTCAAAGGAAGAAAAACGGTGCTTGAATATATCTATCGTTGTTTCTGTTCCCTTGAGAACTTTCAACATAAACTGGACGATGGCAGCCGCTCACTCGACTTTATCTCCCCGTGGCATTTTTTCTGAACCTCTTTTTTCTAGAATATCAGTGCTTCATGATTTCTTATTTTTCTTGAGGGAAACGTATGTAGTCGGACTGCCAATGACGTTAGTTATTGTTCGGTAACCTAGTCAGTAGTAGCCAGTCAATAGAGCGGTTCTAATTCACAAGCTCTTGTTTACGTGGCTTGATTTAGCCGCAAATAAATGAGGAGGAGGTGGTGGCACAAGTGTGGGTTTATTCTTGCCACTCAGCAAGTGGACAGAACTCTGAAGTATTCGCCTACGCATATGCAAAAAAGTACTTGTGCAGGAATGTTCGCATTTACTGCTTCCTTCAAGAAGTCCGTCACACAATGTTCCCATAAATGTCGTGCTTAAGAACCTCATTAGGTAGTCAAATTTATATCTGACGACCTCCCACACAAACGTGGAACACCATGGGGATTTGTAAAATGGCGCCAGTAGAACCTCCGTGGGCAGGGCATGAACCCTCTTCCAGCACTAATTGAATCAATTTCACACCTAACCCTGCCACAGCGATGCACACTTTTTTTCGGGCTCATCGAGAAGTTGCCAAATTACCTCTTTGTTATAACGTATCAGGTTCAATTGCTTTGTTTTCGTTGTGCCAAACCCATTCTGATTATCGTCCAGCTCGAGAATGAATAATGACTTCTGATGAATCAAAGAAAAAAACATGTGAATTTGTTTTTGTTTATGTTTGTGTGCCATGAGCTTCCTAGTGCGCAGTTGCTTGTTGAACTAAAAACATTGTTCAAGGTAAAATGCTTTTGCTTCCGATGGAATATTAGACTTTTCTAATGACCCTAATTCGCAAGATATTCAACGGTGCTGTTGATGTGCGAAATTCTAGTATTCAAAAGCTCGATTCCCTCTTTGGCACTTAGAAAAAACAAAACACGTTTGGGAACCTTAGTAAGTCCTCAGTCGGCAACCTCTCGCCGAACTGACTGAGTGGTTTGCTTATATCTTTGGTGACGCGCTGTGCATTAAGTTTCCACCTCGAGGGAGTAGCGAAAAAGACAAAGAGCTGCCGGCTCTTCTCCGATTCCGCGATCCCTCCTGCCCGAAATTACGCCTGTCCTGGGTGGGTGTCCTTGAAAGCAGGACGAATATGCGCTTAGCGCCATTCAACGCGCCATCCGAAGGGCGAAGTTCGGAGTTTCCCGGCCAGGGCACATCGTTGTTGGGGAATCCCCAACAGAGGGGAGGTCGTATTTGGGCTGAGAAAAATTTATTTTGATAGTTGATTTTCTCGCTTCACGGACGTTGTAAAAGGGGGGGGTCGTACTTGCTCATTGTTGGGAGGGGGGGTCGTATTTACTTTCTGGCCTTTCTAGGAGTGGTGGGAGTGGTGGTTGACTTTTCGTGATTTTCCTGTTTCATGCGTACTATATACCCCCTCCCCCTCCACTCGACAGCAAAATTTTTGGGAAAAGTAGGGAAGTTTTTGGGAAATTTTGGAAAAAGTGGCAGGAAGTTGGGGAAAATCTGAGAATTGGTAGAAGGGGGGGGGTCGTATTGTCTCGCGGCTTTTCCTGTTTCACATGTTTTACATGTACCTCACTCGACGGCTCGATTCGATGAGGAGGGACAGAGGGCCGGAGGGAGGGGTCGTACCAACCCCAAAAAAGGGGGGGGTCGTACGGACTCGACTAAAATCCCCAACCAATGATGTGCTCTATTCCCGCTGTACGCATGAGAAAAGTAAGCTAAAGCTCTGCACTCCTCGACGACTGAAGATCAAGGACAACCGCATTTGCCAAGGTTTCTCGAACAAGCAGGTGGGCCGGGCACATCATGGGTTTTGAAACGACCGTTGACTGAGCGGCGATTACGCAATTGCCGGTTCCATGGGGATGTCAACACAAACACCTGGTACGACCGCCTACGCGATGGGTCATACTTCTTGCTGGGAAGCTCTGAACGATGGTATAATAAAGGTTCATCGTGTCCTCGAGCAGGAGGGAACGCAGTGGGGCCACTCCTTGCATGTTTGCATGCGACTTAAGCCTTACTGCGGCGCCCGCTGAGAAACTTCGATGGGAAGGCATCAACGGGAGCACAGAATCAGCTCCAGCTGCTCTCCTGTCGGGGCCACTTTTGCTCCCCCGAGACACAGATACATAATATTTGTGGGCGTGGGCCTCAAAAATTCACTGGCATAGGAGTTCTAGCGCTTCACGGTGTTTTGCTTCAAATGAGCTCGCGCGCGCCCTTTCGCCTACTGATGTATACAAGGATTATCAGACTTTTTTTGGTCGATGTTAGGACGGCATGCGTGGTGATATTTCAAAACTAAAACTGAGGGCACGAGTAATTTTATACTTTTCTTGGAATTATATAGCTCCAAGCTCTTTGGCTCTGGAACGCTGAGCTGAACTGAAACTTTTTATTTATTTTTTGGAAGCTGGTGAATCCAAGAATCAGTTTGATCAGTTCCCATCCACTCGAACCAGTTCAAGCTGTTAATTCAGCTCTTCCTTCAGAAATGAACTGGGAAGTGAGCCGACGCGACGGGTAGCCCTCTCTCGGCACACATGCGATGGTCCTCTAGAAACACACGAATGCGAGAGCTGGATGAGAGAGGTGAGATAATTCCTAAAAAGACTACCATCACTCTACACAAGTGGTGGCTGCTAGCAATGTTTTCCGTTTTTAGGCAGACCGCTGCCGAAGCAGGCATTACTGAAGACGTCATCCAACGTCTAGTCTGGCGTGGGTCGATTATGTTGCAGCTCGACAGGCCGGAAGAAACGTCATCGAACCGACAGGATAGTCGGTTCCTTTACTATCACAATTGTGCTTCGCGTGACGAGGTATCGTTATTCGAGGAAGAGCATACAAAATATAAACAACAATGTCAACGAAAAAAATTCCCAGTAAAGCCTGAAATGTTTGTATCACTCAGCTGTTTTAAGAAAAAAATCGAATTGAACTTCAAAGTAAAACCCGCGATTCATTCGCCAGCACAGTTGATGTGGTGACCTGGGGTTTCCGCTATAGGCCTTTAATAACTTTTTGAAATTAAGCTCGATTAGTGGTGCAAAGAAGATAGGCCGACTGTCCTTAAATACGATCCCCAATTCAGACCCAATTCCTATACTTTCCCACTTGCGAATCCATCTTCAACACTACGCCCTTTCATCCGCACAGCTGATTCTCCAATAAGAACTC